CAATATTTCATTGATATATGTATTATGTGTTATTTAACGTACAAAATAGTTCGAAAACATCTTGGAAAATGGAATATTTTATGAGATATTTCTAAGTAATAAAATCGTTTCAATATTGAATTGATATACGTATTATGTATATTAATAAGAAATTTGTCTTATTACCGAAATTTCTTTTCGAATACCATTTTCCAGCTAGCAAACAAATATGTTCTTCCTTTTGATGACCAAGCAATTGTTTTTAGTCATACTGCGAAATCAATTTTTTCAATTACACATCGGTTCTGTTTACTCTTAAAAACTGTTTGTATTTATCAACTGTTTGGATATTCATTTTTTTTTCTCTTTTATCTTTCTCTCTTCACGGATCCGATGTGTAAAAATCGGTGTTTGGTCTTGATTATACTCAGAACAAGAGAGTGAATACACAAAAAAAATTCAAAAAAACTTGGGGGGGGGGGGTAAATTTCTGGTAAGTAAACAAAAAAGTGATCACGTAAAAACCAGCCTAAAATGGCCATTTTCGCTTTGGAGGGAGCCTAAAACACGAAACCCCCCCCTCGCGCATGTCTGAACTCTTTGTGACGACATGAAATGGCTCCATGAATGCCTATTGGGTCTACTTCAAAACCGTCCAAATGTCGGAATCGGTTTTTGTACCAAGGCTTCGTGATAGTATAACTTAGCACGCCGTATATTTAATGCTCGGCATAATATGCCAGCATATCGCACATACACAGCTGGCGCAAACACTTCTCTCGTGCGCAAACGATTGAGTACACATCAGATTTTGTATGCGTTTTGTTTTGCGTACGAGAGAAGTGTGTACGGCAGCTGTGTGTGTGCGATATGCTGGCATATTATGCCGAGCATTAAATATACGGCGTGCTAAGGTTTACTATCACGAAGCCTTGTTTTGTACAGCAAGTACAATAAATCAGGTCTTAACATTGTGTTATCGTGGTATCGTTGTTTTATCTTGCACGCCAATATCATTTCCTTTCGCCGATTTTGTGAACAGCAAGTAAAAAAAAACATCATCAGCATCCAAATCATAGAGGAATACATGACCATTTGGCTATTTTTCACAGCTAGGTGAACTGCAAACGTGACGTTGCTCCGATAGTTGCTCACTCGAAAAATAACCAAGGCAGTGAACTTTAGTTGCAATATAAATCTCGGTTCATTCAAACAAATTCGTTCAGTTTGCTGCAACTGATTGAACAGCCTGTATGCAATGAAATCAAGCCTTTCTGCTATGATTCGAATGACTCTGATAACTGTTCTGTCTGTCTTCAGGTCATGAATCGCATTTGCATTGACGGCAAGTTCAAGTTTCGAATTATCACCTGTGATTTGCCAACCATCGACTTTCGATTGGTGATCGTCAATCAAATCAGTCGGCAATATTATGCGAATTTTGTCCCAGTTGCAATCATTTGGGCGAATGCTCCAGATTTCATCTTTTCAACGTCGAATTCGGGAATGTCAACACGATTTTGCTTAAAACTAGCCACTGATATTTTACAATAAACTTTTTTTGGTGAATTCACTTTTGTTGGCACAATTTTTGGAATGCATAATTTAAATGTCTCTGACAAATGGGCGCATCATATGTGCACATTCGGTGGCATATGGATTTGTTTTGTCCAACTCGCTAAAAAGTTTCGTAATCATATCTAGAAGATTTTCTGCCGCCCGCAAAAAAAAATTCGCGTCCGTAATTTGTTCGGTTTTTTTCAGATGACAAAACTTATTGTTCATTCGCATACATTCTTGTAAATCAGCACTTGTTTGTGGCCCCTCTTGTGTTTGTGTGCGTTCAGATGTGCTGTTGCGAGCCGCTTTGAGATCATTTTCACCGTTGCTAGTAGTGTGATTGTTTTCGGGCAAATGTGTTGAATACATAAGGCAAATGCTAGACCCCTAACGCCATCTATTGATTTTTGTAGAAATCATTAAAAGTACTGAGCTTCATGTCAAGTCTACTGTTAAGTAGAATTACCACTCATATTGAACCAAGTAGTTAGTACCATAATGATTTCTACAGAACTCAATAGATGTCGTTAGGGTCTTGCATGGGCCCTACGATTTTTACTAAAATGCATTCGAAATATAAAGCCAGGAGTATCGATAGATTCACCGGGAAATTTGACATTTCAATATAAATTCGCCCGGAATAACTTCATATATACTGGCGTTGACATAATATTAACGTTCCATCCAGAACTATATATATTTTCCCGGTGATGAGTTCATTTTACCGCCCGAAATGACAGATGGCATTACTACGATCGTATTTTTCTATTGCAAGCCAGCAGCTTGCGATGATGTAGGTCACCAATACCGTTCTCTGTTTCACGCATAGAATGGGTTTAAATGTTGTATTTTTAAATGATTTTTTATTTTCATTGGAAAGTACACATTTCAAACTTCATTTTAGAAAGAAAAAAGTTGACTCATATAGGGAGGGAGATAGAACACGAAAAAAATATCAAAAGTCACTGGTCGAAAAATCACTGGTTAAATTGTAGAAGATACTAACTTTCTATATACTTCATTATCATTACACAGCAAAAAATAAAAGTCTACATTTGGGCGTTTTTTCAGCTAAAGACTCATTTTAGCCGATATTTCTGCTAGTACCTTGAGCTACAGGCGAAATTCCGCTTATAATCTAGTCGATATTTCGTCTGAATTTCCGTTTGCTAGGCAAAATATAGGACTGGGCGCCTCTACCAGTCGAAATTCCGCCTAAATGTGGACATTTATTTTTGACTGTGTAGATTTGCTTATATTTTCCTTCAAATGTTTAGAACTTGTGTTGTCCCCAATGTCGGGCCAATTTTCGAATTCGCACACAGAAAAGAATCCCCGGAAATTTTGGGTGTTCGCCGTAAAATTTGACATTTATATTTCTATATACATTTTACCGGCAACACTTCAATTTTCCGGGCGATGACATATTTTCGAACATTTTATCAAATACTATGTATATTTTACCGCTTGAAATGACAGATGGCGCTAATTTCTATTGGAATATTTGAAATTATGTCATCGCCCGGAAAATTCAAGTGTTGCCGGTAAAATGTATATAGAAATTTATATATAAATGTCAAATTTTACGGCGAACACCTAAAATTTCCGGGGATTCTTTTCTGTGTGCGTTGATAATGCTCAGTGAGCACTCCATATACACCATTTAAATGCCAATGCTCTATGTAAATATGTAATGTCGCGACGATTTAAAAGGCAGAAGAAATGAGTTTTATGTTCTAATGTATAAAATTAATGCAGACGAGGTTGTCTGAGTTTAAAGTTCAAAATGGCTCAATCGATTTCTCTCGTCGTTTATTCTTTGAACTTTGAAAATTTTAGGTTGAACAAAGTTTCGTTTTTCTATCAAATTTGATTGAAAAAAGAGTTAAATAGCAGCCCTCAACACGGATCTTGTTAGTTTCATCAGAAATCTTTTTGTTTAAAGTCCAATTTCCAAACGTAAAAAATTAACTAGTTACGTTTTATTCTCGGGATGACTCCCCTCAAGTTGAATTGAGCTGTTGATGAAAATACGCGCATTCCGAAAAGAATTCGAATTTTGTTGTTCTATGCATTGATGATTTTACTGCATCTGATCAACATTGCTGTGTGTTCGCTCTACTTCATTAAATACATCTCGATCGATTAATATGGAGCAATTGGTATTTTTTGGGGAGATTTTAGTATTTTTTGGGGAGGTTTCTGTTTCACCCAATATTTTCAACGCTACATGCAATTCATAAAAATGGTAACGTTCTTCATTTAAATGAAACGTTCGCGATTAATATCGAATAATGCTATTTCTTTTGCAAATGCAGACACATTTGAGATATCGTCGTACACTGAACGAGTTGGTAAACTCATCTCACTTCTATTCATAACTTTGTATACTCCTGGATTTTTTATCATATCAGTGGCAGTCACATTAATGGATGTATTGCGTTGTTATTTCCATGATGTAAAGTGTCTTCTAACACCATATAAATACGTGTAACTCAAATTAATCAATCAATCTTCAACAGTCTGAGTAATTGAATGACACAAAAATTGCATTATAATTAATATAATAGCTAATTAGCTTACCTTGGACTGAAGACACCGGTTCGTTTGCATTTCGTATATTTGTTATCGAAAATCAATGATATTTCCAATGATGATATCGTGTATGAGATAAAATCAAAAGGAATCCTGTGCGATGTTATTCGTTTTCATAATACGGTGAACATGTAAGATTGTATTTGGGTGTGCCATTGCAAAAGATAGACAAAATCCAAACGTTTTTAATCAATTTGTACCCAATTGTTTGGCGGTGTGATTTTTATGTCGGCCAGCATTTTTCAAGCGGAGACGATGAGTCCGAGCAATCAAATTTGAAAACCGAGAAACCAATTTGTGAATATTGATTTGATTTTTATGTGTAGGCTCTTCGAAATTCAAATTTGTATATTGTAACGGTTATAAATGTGATTTTCACCAGCGCAGCGAATTTGTTCTGTTTTGCTGATGGCGTTGTTACTGATAACTGTAGACGGTTTTCTGACGATTTATTCGATTCGAATTGGTTTAAAATGTCAAATATTGTTCAAAAGTGCTTCATCGTTATGATTGCAGAAGCCCAGAGCCTGATGTATCTCGACGGATATGGCCTCATTCGATTGAGCATGGAATAATTTGGAAAAGTAACATATTTCATAGTGAGACGTGCAGCTTGTAATGAATAATCATTCATGTTTTATTTCAGATGCTACGCACTGTACTCAGCTACTTTATTATGTTCAGAACGTTATCATTCTAAGATGAAATACACATCAATCAAATCTTCAACACCGTTTATGATGTATAACGACACATTGAATATTCAATATTATCGGTCATTTTGTTCACACACACGTCCTAAAGGATGAAAAAATACCACCAGCCATCCCAAAGTATGAAAATCAAATCGAAAGAAAGTCGTTTCATTTTATTGAAAATAAAAAAGAAGGAATGTATTTATTTTAAAGGAATATCGAAAAAGAAATGGATACAAATGGAGCTAAAATATAAATGTTGGAGGAAAATAAAACATCTTCGTTTGTGTAAAATTTATCACAAAAATATGCAATGGGTTGATTTTTCAAAAAAAAAGCCAATACAAATAGAACGATTGATTGATTAGATTCATGTTGTTGTTTTTTCCGTCAATTCTTAATGCTAAAGAAATATTGTATGTTTGACAATATAGAACTTAGGTCTAGTAGCTTATTATTCTTGATAGTATATATTATGGTCTAAATATAAAATTGACGCGAAGGAATGATGGGATTTTTGTTAAGTTGGAACTATATATGGGATGGAATAAAGTAATGACGAAGATTTTAGTATGTGCACATTGCCTCATCGGCACCATCAGGACAGTCCGTAATCTGAAATAAGGTTTCGTTTGGGAGTTATTAATGAATCAATTAAACATGGTGTTAAATCATGATTTAACCTTATCGCATAACTGACTGATCGTAATGCAGTGTCCGTTTACGCATCGCAATTCGCCATCCGGGCACTGTGAAATATATGCCTGCGAGGCTTTTACTTGAACATAGTTAGAACTTGAATATTTGTATTCCGATTCTGAGTCGCTGGTCATCATAATCTCCTTGCTATCTTTGAAATTAGCTAAAAAACCAAAATAAAAAACCATAAACAATAAACAAACATTACGAAACGACAGCCAAAACAAGTGCACAATTTTCCAATGGAACAATTACTGACCAAGACTTTTGGATATTGGTACCGTAATACCAGAAGCGTCACCTTGAATTTCATCGTCATCATCATTACCGAAGATGTCGTCAAGTGTTGTGTTTTTGACGCGGCTGCGTTTACCTTTGTCCACACTGTTAACGGGGTCATTCAACGAGATTGGTGTCAATTTTGTTTTTATAACAGGTTTATCTTTCGGTGATTTGAGTCGATCTCCGGTTAAAACCAGCAAGTCTGGCACTCTGCAAAATCAATTTATTTTATGGGAAAATGACAATGATACACAATGTTTTGAAGAACAAAAAAAACATATAATTTTGTAGACACATTACCTTGTCGGAGCAATTGTATTGGCAAATGGGAATGTTCGTGCGTTGCCAATTGTTGGATCTCTTGTTTGACTCTCATCAGCAAACTCACAATCTTGTTCATCGGAAGCATCGGGACAATCTTCATAAAACACACATTTTTGGTTTCAAAACATTTAAACGTTATTTCAAAGCATTTACATGAAAGAAATCATAAAAAATCGAAATACTACGGATTACCTTCGTACTGATCGCAATGCCATTTTTCAGGTATACATTTATCACTTCCGATACATCTAAATTTACAGAAATAACAATAAATCAAACGATTAAATGCCAATTTTCGAAATCAATTCATTTCGAGACGTTTACAACTCACTTGAACTCATTTTCTTCACAATACGAACAATTCTCTTCGTCTTCAGCGTTCGGACAATCTCTGATGTTGTCGCACCTTGACAAACACACAAACACCGATTAAAACGTAAATTCATTGGTAGTGTATAATTAAGAAAATTCACAGTTTTTCGAAAGAAATGTCAAGAAGAAGAAAAAGAAATGTCAATAAAATGAAAGTGATTGCTAGAACATACTGCCACGTTGAAGGTATACAGGTTTGATCGCTACATTGGAATTCATTCTTGTAGCATTTCGTTCCGCGTGTAACGTCTTTGCACTCACGTTCGTCGTGTGAATTCGGATAAATATCGCAATCGAATGTGGCGGCCAACATTTCCGTTGAGGCTACAATATCGGCACATGCTTCTTGGATGGCTGCAAAATAACCGATAAATTAATAATTACTCAAAATTGGCATTTTGACTTTGTAAGGAGGACAAAACACTTGAAAAAAAACCCTTACCTTTACAAATTCGTTTGCACGGAAGTAATGGGCCCATTTTTTCGGGTCGACATTCCGGCTCTAAAATCGAGCATACAAATTCGTGTGAACGTTTCGAGCATTTTGATTCAATCAAATATTGAAAATGTTCCAAGTCCTGAGGCGTTATCGATTTAGCCATTTTCACATTGGTTAAATCATACGGCAAAATACCTCGACAAAGAGGCAACGTCGTTGATTGACAAATACCTGGCGGGGAAAAGACGTTAAAAGCCACATTTAGAAATCATTCATTTGAGAGAGAGAGAGAAGAAAAAAAGTACGCTTATAGTGTGAATTACCGTCATCAGTAGTGACATTGACAGGCCGTATGCGTTCGGTGGTAGCGAAATTCCTTTTGATATTGGGCAATGTTGGTGAAACCTTTGTTTGATGAACATTAGCATCGGTTGTGATGTCAATTAGGAAAAAGTCGTTGCTTTGCTTTAATGCTGGCTCGCTATTCTGGCTGGCTAATTGATGGTTAAGCATGCGTAAGACACGTTCGTCTTCTTCAATTGGAATGCCAAAGCTATTTTGATGGCCAGAAGTAAAGCCGAAATTTTCTAGCGTTTCTTTGCTTGGGAATAGAAGTTTTGATCGTTCAACGGCATTTTCGTCCAAATCATCGGCCGATGGTAACAACAGTGTAGTATGTTTTGGAGCTGGTTGTGGCAATTTGCGCCGAGGGCTTGAATTCGTGTAAATTTTCACATTTTTCACGTTTGATGTGTCCTTGACAGCCGTATTTTCATTCAATGGTTTAATGGTGCTCGATGTAACTGGCGTTAAGACTTTGACGCTTGGAGTTTTGGCCGAAACCACATTCGCTGTCGTCGTACTAACGAAAAAGTTCGATGGTGACGATGAAACCGGACGTATTGTTGTGGGTATTTTGGAAGCAATTGGTAATTTTGCTGTTGACACCGATCTTATGGTTGTCGGCGGTCTTATTGTTGTTGGTAGCCTGAACGTCGAATAATCGCCGTGTGTACTGGGATGGACGGGTTGGTGGTGCGAGGGAACATTCAACACTGGAGGATTTGGTTCATTCGGTCGACTGTTACGATTTATACTATTGTAATTATTCAAAAAGTTTATGGCATTTGGTTCGTGCGATGAGTGTCCGTGCCGCTTTGAATTCGATGATAAATTCTGGCTGGCTATCAAGAAATAAACTACACCCGCTACCATTACACACACCAGCAACAGAGCCACCGGCCAAATTACATATCTCCATATTTGTCGTGCCGACTGATTTCTCAATTTCGACAGAAAAATTCCCAGAAATTCAAAAAAAAAATTTCAATTTAATAAATTACAATTTTGCCAAATGGATTTCAATTTGAATATTTTACGAAGATTTGTTCAAATACAAATCTCACCTGCCATCGATGTCGACGTGATTCGGCGTCTGTTGGTAGCGCATTCGACGAAATCGGTGTTTGTGAATCAGCTTTCCAGTAGCCGATGCGATGGCCACTGCTGATTGAATTTGAATTGGATGACGGTGACGATGAGGTCGGTATCAATGGTGGCAACCGAAAAACACCATCGTTTGATTGTGACATTCCCTAAATTGGAAAGAAATAAATGCGTTAAAATTAACGGAAACGGTGATTAAAAGGCTAAACGAATCTTATCGCGGTGGTAATCAAATTGATTGTAGCCGTTTAATGACGGTTTGTTAATAGGCTTTCAATCAAGAAGCTTCTCTTGGCGCATTCACTAATTATTGAAGCGATAAAACTGCTTGAAACGACGAAGAAAGAGAGACGAAGATGACGTCGGGAACTCTTCTTCAACGATTTAATCATGTATAATCAATTATTTTGTTGACATCGGCCAGCTTGGTGTCGTGGTTTTGAAGTTAAATCCCAAAAAAAACAACAGAGATCATCTGACTTTTTGTGCATAGTTAATTGGAATTTGAAATCGATTTGATCACAACGACCGGCTGTCAATAATGATAACAACAACAACAAAAAAACTTGACAACTTGAGTTATACCTATGTGGTACCGCCTATTGTGTTTATTCATCTCTACATCTCTACATCTCTACACTTTGGATCGTGTTGTGTGTTATGCACAAAATCAAAGCAGAAAAACACATTCCATCCGATTTTTTTAATGTTTTTTTTACTTCGGTTCATTTAACGAGTTATCAATCGAATACCATTCAATCGGATCCGATTGATCCTATTTCATTAATTGACTCTCGAACACTCACGAATTAATTTGTTTGTGCACAAAACGGTCGTTTTATTGGTTCCATTTGAATTCGATATTGCTATCACTCAAATAGTTTGTAGCCGAAGACAGCGAAGCAAAAGAGAATCGAAAAGAAATTACATAAAAAAAATGAAATGAAAACAGATCGTTCAGATCAAATCGATTAGTATGCAAAGCGAATAAATCGCTATCGAAGATTTTGTTATTTCTTTTCGTTTTCCGATGAATTTGATGATCGCAAACTCATTTCAATAAAATTGATCAGAATAAACATAACATAAAAGGTATTTGTAAGTGATAATATAATGGCGACGATAGCTTATTACGTGTTTGTGGTGCCTGTTGTGTATCAACAACGGCGTCTTGATTCGAAGAAAAAAAATTCCGGCGAAGGCTTTATCATCATCCGCATTATCAATCAACCTGATGATGATGAACTCTTGAATTGGCGGAAGTTGTTGCGCTTTTACGTTTGTGGAATTTCGATCGATATCATTCTCATGCCCTTTTTTAATGGGTTAAACATAACAATGGTAAAACGAAGTGGCGTCTTTATATCATAATATCATCATGAATGGAAATTTGTTTTTGCTTCTCTTCTGTTATCATAAAATTTCAGTTTATGGCACGCGATACATTTACCACTCTTGCATTCTACTTTTCCATTTTGTTTGCAGTGTTTGGTGTCGTTTTGCGTAAAAATTGAATTATCATTGTTTGTCGCTTTGAAAACGGCAAACAAGCAAGGCGTAACCATTCGAAATGAACAATAATAATAAACAGATAACATGGCATACCAAATAACCTGCCCGAAATCACAACGTGCGTAAGATTTTTTTTTCTGTTTACATCGGAAAAGAGTATCGTATCGTAGCAAGAGAAGAGATAGAGAGCCATCGAAAGAGAAAGAGAGCGAGAGAGAGAGAGAAAAACGCACGGAAAAATGTAATGTGAACAACATCAGCGCCGTACAAAAGGCAAAACAAAAACAACAATGATAATCAATTAAATGTTGTGGTTTTTTTTTTCTTAAGCCGAATAAATTTCCTTGCCGAAAGATATGGAAGCATAAAGAGAAAACGTTGGCTTATTGACTGAGTTTTTTCTTCTTCTGCTTTGGTGTGTAAATGTTTTTTTCTTGGTTCACAATCAGTGTGTTGATTCGAAGGAATCGATTCGTAGTCAGAGCAAGAGAGAAGCAAAAAAAAATGCACAAGCGCCAATTTTGCCGTAATCACCGTTTCGGTTTGCACTGTTTCATTAATAATCAATTATTTAGCAATTGGATGTCCAAGTGATCAATTTATTGTACCACAATGTAAACCTTTTTTTGGCACACTGACATGCTCCGACAAATTTATTATGCAGATTGGCGACTCGAGCAGAAAATTACTTTTACGGGTTTTGTGCATTGAAGAGAGAGATGTTGTGAAACGACCTCATCACTTTTACCTGTTTCGTGTTTTTTAGCACTACATGAAATGTAGAGCTACTAATCTGCTCTTTTTTTTCCTAGATACTTTTTGAGTGTTGAAACAAATTATGGTGAATCTGAATTTTATGCTCATATTTTTTCATATTCAGTGGCAGTAACGACAAATAGGTGCATAATATCTCAAAGCGCCAATCAAATTTTTATTATCAAATGTTGTTTAAAAATTACATTAATTTTTCGTATAGTATTTTTCTGAGTCTTGAACAGAATTAAAGTGATTTTAGATTCTATGCTCATATTATTTATTGAATTTAAACCAAAGGCAGTATATTTCAAAAAAGAAATTAAACCAAGATCTTGTAATTCATTTTGCAAATAAATATGTTATTTCAAAGTTACTTTGATGAAATACATTTCATGTAGTGCGCCAAAAAATAGTTTGTTGTGAAACAAAATAGATTAAGTAACTAAAAACTCAAGAACGCAGAGCGGAGCAAAGCTCTGCGGTCTTGTTTATTTCTGTTTGTCTTTCTTGCGCAGGGAATTGAATGTAATTTGAACATAGCCAATTCTACAACGGAATAAAATCAAGTTCAAAGACAGAAAGTTGCTCTGCTTTCATGTTTCTACTAGAACGTTTCGTCGAAGGAGAAAAAAAAGCACGGTATTTTTTAAATGTTATTCACGTTTCACACTTTCTTCCGTGTCACCAAACGAATGGTGAGTGAAATAAATGTGTTTGCGTTTTCATTGCGGCTCTTTAACTACGCCTATTTCTTTGTTAAATTCATTGCGGCGGAAAACTGTTTTTTCTTCGCACGAATGTCAATAAACTGCGAAATTGTCAGAAGAAAGTCAATGATCGTGGTTATCTGTTTTGCTATTTAATTTGGATTCTCATGTTCCGGCGTAAATGTTCAACAATGTACAAATGAAAATTAATTAACAACATGTCGTTTGCATGTCACTTTGTTTTATGGGATATAGTCAAAGTGAAACTGGCGAAAAAAAACCGAATCAGTCAATGCCATAAGCGTTTCAAATTCGACAATGACTTGACATTCAAGTTTGTTTCGTCTGAAAAACAATATAAAATACCATTTATGGGTGAGACTCATCATGCCTTTGGGAATGTGTTTTCACGCACACTGATCGGTTGTTATTGATGCTTCCAAAAATGATCGAAAACTTTGAATCGATCCGGAATAGATTAGCAACGATGGTGCTTAGGTCACCAAAAATGGTCCATTTTTATGGGCAATAGTTGGCAATTTGTCAGGCTTTGCAGCAGTGATTTGGTTGTTTTTGTGACAGCTTTCATCTGTTTATCATTAATCCAAATACTCATTTATTCATGGGTTTTTTTTCGATCGCATAACCATGGATTTTCTGGATATAGAAGTTCCCATAATGTGTTTCGTTGTCAATGAAAACAAAATAAAAGAGAGAGATTATCGTGCTATTCGAAAATGTTCCAAATTTGTATAATTTCTCTGACGTAGTTTTTTTTTTTTACGTCGGCTACTCTCCGGTGGCCCATAATTGCTTGAGCCTACGTCAATGGACAATGTCCATTGGACATAGAGCCACCCGAATATCGTTGGAGAAAAAAACAATTTGAAAAATTGTTTCATCGTTATAATTGGAATGTCATAACAACGACAAACATTCCAACAGACAGGTGAAAATCGTTTCACATTAACATATCCGCATCGATATGGAGAGAAAGAAATATTTTCATGATGCGGTAATAGAAATTATCGCAGTTGATTTTCAATTAGAAAAAAATCATTCCAACCATTTATATATTTAATGATATACACACACTGAATGGCATACATATATTGTCTGTTGTTGGATCGGTATTTGTTACTTTCAACGGTCAAATATCATTAGGCCTGAGTCAAAACGACATTTTGAATTCACCTGAACATGCGATCCCAACGGTCCGTGCGCAATTCACAGAGAAAGATATTGCATGTGGTTAGAAAAAAAGCGCAACGTTGTACGGCAAAGAATTTCAATTGGAATTGACAAACTTAACGAGAGACCAATAGACAGACCGAAGGAGAGGGAGAGAGAGATCAACACAACAATAAATAGCAAAATCGAAGTCGAGAGCGAAAGCCGTAGATGAGACTACGACACATACTGAATGAACCAGTGATGGCTTCATATTTATAATGCAATTGCGTACGAGGTTACTTAATCTACTATGTGGCTGGCAGGCAAATAAAGCGACAACAAAACAATGATTGATTATTATCATGTATGTACGAAAAGACAGTGGAAAAAGTGTATGGGACAAGAAGAAAATGCTACACGATCGAACGAAATTTAAATGTAAATTGAAATTAGCTGAAGACTCGCCATCGTCACAGCCAAGATCGATTGGCCAGCAAACCGTTTTTTTTTCTCCTCTCCACTTATTCTCCTTCTTCTTCACATTTTGTATTGAGTTCGGGATCGATTATTATTTTTTCGGCTAGCACGTAGAAAACCTATGTAAAAGCACTTGATAAATGTTAACTCATTGGCATCGCCAACTTTCGCAAGTAAAAGTTATCGATTTTTCATAATTCAGAAGTTGATAGAAAATTGAGTTGTTGTTGATGCAGCTGGCGCAGCACGTACGAACGTTCGATTCGGGTTATTGCATGACGAACACGATTGTAGTACAAGGAAATCGTGTTTAATTGATCGATCATTCTATATGTAAAGTCAAAAAATTATTCAATCACTTTTGAAATGAATCGGTGTGAAGAAGTCAGCAAAATAAATCAGATGCGTCTGCGAAGCGTGATTGGTCAGGTGCGCGTGCAATGGTTAATCATCGGCCGTTTGAACAAATGAACGTTCCATTAGATTGATTGAGTGAAAAAACCCGCGAAGAGCTCTTCGCTAAA